CATTTCTTTCGACGAGCACGCTTCCAACAAGCCCGTACATTTCCAATGATCCCAATTTCCGTGGAGCATGGAGCTTTTAAAAGGTTTTCCTAGAGGAATCAAGTCCCTCACGTGTCGACATCTGTATCTATTCATTTAACGAAAGCTGTGAACTTCCATCAGCAATTTCCCTCGCGAAGTGGATGTAACTATGAACGCTTCGAAGTGGAGGAGATGGAGGCCGTTGTACACTGTTTTAAACGCCCCGCGGGCGAAGATTCTAAGTGGAGAAAACGGAGGCCATTGCACACTGTTTCAAACGCACTACGGGCGAAGATTCTAGGTGGAGAAAATGAAGGCCGTTGTACACTATTTAAGCTTCTAGGTGGAGGAGATGGGGGCCCTTTTACACTGTTTGAAATGCCATGCGGGCGAAAATTCTAGGTGGAGAAAACGGAGGCCATTGTACAGTGTTCCAAACGTCCTTCGGTCGAAGATTTTAAGTGGAGAAAACGGAGGCCGTTCTACACTATTTAGGCTTCGTAGTGGAGGAGATGGAAGGCGTCGTTGTCCACCTTTAAACGCCCTGTGTGCGAAAATTCTAAGTGCAGACAACGGAGGCCGTTGTACATATATTCCACTTACCTGCACCAACTGGAAGTATTCAGTCTCAAAAATAGCACGTTTTTTGTCTTGAAATTCTGTTACATCGACTCGGCAACATGAACAACCAAGGGTGATCTGCATACCACCACGCGGACTTTTATAACATGGTGCAACCGTTTTGGAATTTACAGGGTTCCATCTTTAACACCAGGGTGGTAGGATAATATATTAATTTATGATGCAAGGATTTTTAAGTAGCCTCGTAACCCCGTTTTATGGTACTATTTTAATTTGAAAATTTTAAAGTGTTTTATTGGTGTTACCTCTGTCAAGACTTGGTTGAGTTGTATGCCTTTTTTAGTTCCTTTTAGAATTATGTTATTATTATTATTTTTTTAGATGTGTTTCTGAATTTTCATACTTCAATATTTCACGTAATTTAATTATTTATCTAAAAAAAAAAAGCATATGACAATATCCCACTAAAAAGCTATGGGAAGCACTGGAAAAAAACAATAATTACTTAGAACTAATAAAGGCAGTTTAAATTTCCCATATTGATGCAAAAACCAAAATTATACATGGTAGCATATTCAGTAAAGGCGCTACAGCAACTAAAGAACTTAGGGATGCTGCATATTACCAACATTTGAAACAAGCCCTTAACGGGTGGAGAAAGAAATGAAAATAATAGAGAATCTGCTCAATGGATACAATTTATATACTCTAAGCTTGGCAGATGACCAAGACCAAGTAATAATTGCACAGGATTATAATAACGTAGAGTTCACGATACCATGATAGAGGAATAAGAGAAATGGGGTACATTTTGACGAAATACAGAACCTATGACTATAGAAGGAGAAAAACCATTCTCTCTGCCTTGTCATCTACAATAAGTGATAAAAAAAGATAGAATCAGGATGTCAACCAAGCAAGATTAAGGATAAACTTGTCAGTACAAAAAAAAAAACAGCAAAAAAAGCAGCCACTAAGGTTTGGTTATGTCCCTGCTCGGGCACCAAATTTGTAGCACCACTTTGGTTCTCCGGTAAGAAAGCGGTTGATTTCGGAACTTTCGGAAAACTCGGGCGCCACCCTTAGGATTATAGTAATTGAGGGCCCACGTGCTCTAGGTAGCATTTAAACAGTGGAGATGGAAAACCAGAGGTCCCTACGCATTCTCCAAAAATGAAACATCCAATCCAACCAAGAAAGTAGTTTTTATTATTTACCCAATAATTTTTGAATACAATCGTTCTGTTAATCGGTATAAAAAAGCTCCAGGAACTCTGGTTGATCTAGCTCCTACAACCGTCAGCTTGCAGGATCAGGCCTTTGGGCCTCGTGCGCGAATTCTCGATTCGAGCAGAACGCAGGTAAGAAAGAGAGAAGAAGTGTGAAGAATAAATAGCACTACTCTGGTCGGATTCCAGCCCGTAGCCCTCTTTACTCTGTAACGGGAAGAACGGAGCAGCCCTGTTTGTGTTCCAGCCCGCAGTCCCGGTCACTCCGTGCACAGAAGCGAGAAAGAAGAAATGTGTAGAATAAAGAGCGCCACCCTGATACCAGCCCGTAGCGTCCTTGATTCTGTCACGGAAGGAACGGAGCTGCCCTGTGTGTGTTCCAGCCCGCAGTCCCGGTCACTCCGTGCACAGAAGACAGAAAGAAGAAATGTGTAAAGTCTGTTTTTTTTTTTAAAGATAATTCCCAAGTCAAAAATTTAGTAACTATGTTGGCAACACAAGTCTTTTCTACATAAAAAATTTGAATGCATTGACATTTTTACATTTTATTGCCAACCTAATGTCATTTTGACGTTTATCTTAAAAAAAAAAACAGTCACTAAAATAAAGAGCGCTACCCTGATGCCAGCCCGTAGAGTCCTTTATTCTGTCACGGAAGGAACGGAGCTGCTCTGTGTGTGTTCCAGCCCGCAGTCCCGGTCACTCCGTGCACAGAAGACAGAAAGAAGAAATGTGTAAAGTCTGTTTTTTTTTTTAAAGATAATTCCCAAGTCAAAAATTTAGTAACTATGTTGGCAACACAAGCCTTTTCTACATAAAAAATTTGAATGCATTGACATTTTTACATTTTATTGCCAACCTAATGTCATTTTGACTTTTATCTAAAAAAAAAAAACAGACACTAAAATAAAGAGAGCTACCCTGATGCCAGCCCGTCGAGTCCTTTATTCTGTCACGGAAGGAACGGAGCTGCTCTGTGTGTGTTCCAGCCCGCAGTCCCGGTCACTCCTTACACAGAAGAGAGAAAGAAGACATGCGTAGAATAAAGAGCGCTACCCTGATGCCAGCCCGTAGCGTCCTTTATTCTGTCACGGAAGGAGCAGAGCTGCCCTGTGCGTGTTCCAGCCGGCAGCTCCGGTCAACCCGTGTACAGAAGAGAGAAAGAAGAAATGTGTAGAATAAAGAGCGCTAGCCTGATGCCAGCTTGAAGCTTCCTTTATTCTGCCACGGAAGGAACAGAGCTGCCCTGTGCGTGTTCCAGCCCGCAGCTCCGGTCAACACGTGCACAGAAGAGAGAAAGAAGAAATACCTGCATTCTTACCCGTACTCACATTAAATGGTCGGCTCACATCTGCCGTCGCGGCGCTGCTGACGGCGGCGGTGCTGTACCGTCGAGGTGGCTTACCTTATCGGTCGGCTGCTGGCTAGTCTGGGCGGTCTGGTCGGTTTCGGTGCTCGGCTAGAAGTGACCATCCGCACATTGATAACTCACCAATAAGGTTTAACTAAGAGCTCGCAATGAAGATATCCCCAAAAGCCTTCAAGAAGTCAGATCACAAAGGCACAACGAGATCAAAAAAGCTGATGAGTTGAGATAAGAAAATACTAAGCTCTGTTAAGTATCTCTCTATGGGACAGATTGTCGGATCAAAATGATGGAGGAAGAAGAAAACTTTTGCCAAAATACAGCGGGCGGTATGTGGTCAAAGCAGCAGTTCATAAGATAATGATCGGTACTTGGAGGACTTATTAACAGCAGAAAGATCCTAGACAATGTTTACTGACATTTGCGCAGTGGACAAGCTAAAACCCTTAACAAATACGAAAAGATAGCTTGGAGTGAGCCAAGTGAAAACGAAAAAGTTGAGCACAGAACAACGTGTTCGTTTCCTGACTCACGGACGCAGGTAAGCCAAGCTTAAGACATCCTACAAGTACTGTGAACTAAAAAAGGTAAAGTATCAGGGGCCAGCTCAGCAATCAGTCAGCATTTCAACCAAACGTCAGAGAGGCACATCAAGCGCATTAAATATAACAAAGGCTACAAAGACTACAAAGTTAACTCTATATACTTCCTATACTGGAAGACTACTGATCATATGACTGTTAGGCGAATATGAGCTTTATACCAAGACAGAGAATTGTTCACGTGCCAGGTCAACGTTGCACATGCAAAAGGAAAAGTGATCAACGTATTCTAATCCAAAGTGAATAACGTGATTCGACCTAAAGTGACAAATGTGATTCAATCCAAAATGACCATCGTGGTCCGGATGAATATGACCAACTTGTTGGAGTTCAAATTATTCAACGTGGTCCAGTTCCAATAGACCAACGTAGTTAAGTTCAAAGTGTGTAACGTGGTGTAACCAATATTGAGAACAGATTTTGTAAAGGTTGGCCTGAGATCTTAAAAACTCCTTTTCAATTTTCAATCCCTACTGCCATCTAGCCAATTATCGATAGGAAAATGGTGATCGAAAAGAAGCAGTAACTTTATTTAAAGGTTGATATGTACGGTTACCTCGTTTAAAGGTCAGTATGTAAATTGTGAAAGTACCTACCTAAAACAAGAGAGTTTTTCACTAAGGGCTCTTATAAGAAGCAGAGACCACAAAATTACCTTCAACGCTGTCTTTACGTTCAACTTGGTCTCACAGAGTCCCAGCTTGAATCCTGCTGATAATAATGTAAAAATTACTTTTTTTGCTGTTTGAGAAATTATGAGACCCACTCGGAACTATACTATGAAAACATGAATCGTGAAAAGCTTTCGCGTCCATCATCTTGATGCACAAGAACAATATTTACATTATCCTATAAAACTTTTAATGGAACCTGTACTTTCCAGGTCCAATTAAATTATCATAACCGTATGCTTTGTTTACCTACAGTCCCCGTCTGTACGAGAAAAAGCCACCAACAATGTTGCTGTTTTTATTTTCCTGTAAACTTTCATCCATTAAATATGTACGTGACCTCAAGCATTTCTAGTTTACATTCAGTTTATTTCGGAAAAATATGCTTTTTATTATATATTAAAATAATTTCGAGGAAAATTTTTCGTTGCACCTTCTAATAACAAATTAATGTATGTATGTATAATTGAAATAATAACATGGGTTATTATTACAATAACATATGGCCTACGTAAAATTCTCTACTTACTAAATTATGTATTATTTGTGCGGCTCAAGCGTGGATATTTGGAGAGATCCCTTTTCCATGGTCCCGGACCCGCGTCTGTACCCTGAAACATAATATGGAAATTATATTTTATGGACTAAAAGTAGTCGAGCTAATTGGAAAATAGTTATGTAAGGGTTTAAACATACACAGCGTTTTCTGGAAATTATTTTTAAATCAGTAGACTATTGAAATAAATAAAAAACCATAGGCTGAAGCTAAAAAAGTTGAAGCTTATACTTTATTGAATTGGAAATAAAATATATTCCCTTACGTTTGGTAGAATCAAAAAATAAACTACGCAATAAAATAGTACCTATATAAATGGAGAGGAGAGAAGAATTGCATATTATTTTGGAAACTGTAGGGGAACTAGCTGAATGTTTCCGAGAGAGATAGAGAGAATCTAAAGTTTTCCTAGAAGAAGCAAATTTATTACAATAATTATTCTTACATGATTTCCATTATAGGGATCAAAACCTAAGGAAAGATCAAGGACTTCTACTAAACAAATTACCTTTTGGTACAAAGTGCAGGAAAAATGAAATATTTGTTACTTCTATGCAAAGCACTTAAGGTGACAAGGTTAATAATTACTGAGTATTTAAAGGATATTAATTAATAATACTTTATCCTCGTCTCAAAGCGGTTCCGTTCCATATAATGCTAGGGGATATTATAAAACCACCACGCGTAACTAAATTATATCGATTCTGATCCTGGTCTATATTTCCAGAGAAAATTGAATTTTTAGAGCTAATGCATAAATGAGTGTGCAGCTTCGGAATATTATGTATAGAGCATAATGTTGATCTAGGCAAAATTGTCATTACCAGAACAAATGCAGCTGTAATTACACAAAAATTTATATGATCGGCAATTTGGAATTGTAGGAAACCTGGAAAACAATATTTTTTGCAAACGTGTGTTCGATTTATTTAAGTCCTGGGCAGTTTTCCATAAACCTGTTTAAATATTTTGATAGGATTAAAAATAAAATTTGCATTCTGGAGTTTTCGATGATAATTATTATATTCCAGGAGCTGGCTTTCGATTATGCCATCATGAAACGAGTTTTGCCTGGTTTGCTTATTATCATCTGATTATTACAATTTGGAAAAAAATCTAATCGAATCACCTTATTGTTGGAGTTATTTTCTCTACTTTCAACTTATTTGCATTTCTGACGTATAGTTGATAATTGGATATATTGTTAGGATTATACTATAAATAGATCTTTCACTTGCGAATATGTGTGATGAAGTGAACTTACATATTTTTAGTCAAGTTGAAAATCACTCGTCTACCAAGTGCATCTTATTAAAAGGTTTTCCTTTACGAGTATAATTAGGATTTTCCTAGGCAACAATATATCTAGGAAATCAGAGAAGGATCGGAGTTAAAAGTATTTGGGTAAGTCAAGGCTAGTCAGCTGATAATCGGGCAGTTAAACCGTCCATTTTATAGTCTAGTCCTAGTCCTAGTATTGTAGTGATTTTTCTGTTATGTTTCAAATGTTCATTTAAAAGTTCTTATTATTATTATCTTGTGGGAATGACGGTGATTGAAACACGCCGTTTGTGTGTCCTTCATGTAGATCTGAAGTTCCAACTGGTTTGCCAACTTCTTGACTTTTAGGTCAAGGAAATTGATACATCCGTCGGATTCTAATTCGATTGCGAATCGAATGTTAGTGTACAAACGGTTTAGTTCGTTCAAAATGTCCAAAGAATCTGTTTCGGATCCTCTAATGAAACACAAAATGTCATCTACATAGCGAGACCAATATGAACATTTCGGCAGTCTCCATTGTGAATCAGAAACTTAGTCTCGAGGCGATTGAGAAAAATTTCGGCAAGTAGCGGAGACAGGGGAGAGCCCATAGCTAGTCCGGTTTTTTGTCGGTAGAATTTGTTGTTGAAGCTGAAGTCCTGCTTAAGGCAGAGATTAAGTAAAGTTAGTATGTCTATTTTAATGTTATGTTCAATTTTGCTTTGAGATAATAAGTCTGCTACTAGAGGTGAAGTTTTATTTCTAGGGATGGAGGTGAAAAGGTTGGACACATCAAAGGATACCATAAGGAAGTTCGTCTCCCTCCCATACTATTTGATCAGATCCTTGGCAAGCTCAGTTGAATTTAAAACTGCAAAGTCAGGCTTAAAATCAGTAATACTCTTGATAAGATTGTTAAGGAAGCAGGAAATTTTCAAGACGGGTGTGTTGCAAAATGACACTACTGGTCTGATAGGAATCTTGACCTTGCGGAGTTTAGAGAGTCCATATAATCTGGACATGGTTGGGTTGCTCAAGATTAATCTATACTTATAGTTTCCATTAGAATATTTGATGATCGTTTGTTCACACATCTTTGCATTAATTTTGACCGCACTGATCATTGTGTTTAGCGGATTGTTATTGAGGATAATGAACTCGTTTTCATTCAAGAATGTTTCTACTTTTTGTTGATACGAATGGTACTCCATAATGACTAAGCAATTTCCTTTGTCTGCTTTACTGATAATGAGATTATTGTCTTTAATTTTTTTCTTCAAACCTTTTCGAATCTCAAAGGTCACATCAATTGGAAATTTTTCCAATTTTTCCTTAGAAAGGGAAGGTGGGGAAAATTCGGGGCCCAATGAAAGTAGACTCAGTTCCTCGTTTGTAAAATTATTATTGGTGAGATTTTTCATTCTTTCATAAAACTCGTGGCAATTCTGTTTTACTTTCAGTAGGTTTTTCAGCCAGTAAAGAGTTTAGCTTTTTGTCTTGTTTTTGGAACTTTAACTTCCCATCTCTACTCTATCCTCAACTTCGTTCATAAAATTTTGTAGCTCCATCCATGTGAGTAGTGTCACAAGTTGATCGTAGATTATTTTCAGCTGCTTGTTCAGGTAATCCATCTTTCTATAGTGTTTGGACAACTCCGTCCGGAGTAGTACTGTTTGCATCTTCTCTTTTTGTTGGGTCGATATGTAGGTAGGAAATACCTTCTCTTTCAAGTAGCGATTAATGGGCTAAATATCCACACACGCCGTCCTCCTCCGTACTGACATTCTTCTGTACTTATTAGCCAAAGAAGTCATACCTGCTAAGTGATTACGTACTAGATAGAGAAATGAGAGGTGGTATAAGGTATATAATAGTTATTTTCCTAACAAGTGCGCAAAGTGTTACTTTTCTCCGCTTCGCGTCGTTCGTATAACTGTGTTTGCGTGCGGAAAAGACACTTTGCGCACGTGTTAGGAACAAAATTTTTCCTACGAGCTTCATATCAGGTAGTAATAACAAAAATTTATCAAAAAATTACATAACAAAAAAAAATAACAGAAAATCCTCGTCAGAGCTGTTCATCTTAAAGCGTTTAAATTTGATGAGAAAGTTTGTAGATTTTTGCATATAATGACAATGACAATGTGTCAAAGTTAATTTATAATTGGTGTTTGTATAGATGTTGGCTGATATAGAAATAGAGGAAAAATTTGTCATCATGTGTCAAAGTCGACAGGTGCACTTATTGTTGCTTGACAATTATAATTACTTTTCGGCACTCAGTGCGGATAAGGCCTGTATCCGAACTGATTGCGGAAAAGTGTAACTTTGAGCCCGGAAATGCGTGCGGAAAAATACTACTTTGCGCACGCTCGTAGGAAAAATATTTATTCACGTCAAGCGCTTTCGTCCATACTAATTCATCATCAGGACTGGCACTGTAATACAAAAAAGATGGATCTTAGTCTAAATAAAATAAAATAAAGTAACACTTACTTGTCAAAAATACACAGAAAAATACATTACGAGGCTGTATGTTTGACAAGTAAGTGTTACTTTATTTTTTTTACTACTAACCAAGAAGTAGTCAATATTCAATCTATTTTTCTAGGAAAAAATTGAATTTCTCTCCCTAGGATAATAATGAAAATAATGAAAAAATACCTAGTCATGACGCAAGGATATTGTCATGACGTACCAGGTTTCCATCAGTTTCCATCAATTTCAAACTGTCAATTTAAAAAGAAAAACAGGTTCCTGTATGTACATCATAGAAGATTACCATAAGCTGTTGATAGAGGGCAGCACTTCTGATGATGACCTAGTATGGTCGAAAGCGCTTGACGTGAATAAATATTTTATATACCATACTTTATACCACCTTTCATTTCTCTATCTATTGGGATATACTAGCCAACTTGTACGTAATTACGAATTCTTACGAATGCCCTTCGGATTAAAAAATGCTCCTTCAACCTTTCAAAGAGCTATACAAAATGTATTGAAGGAATTACTTGGTAAAATATTATGTTTAGTTCATATCGATGACATAATTAAAGTAGAGTCGAAATAACTCGGCATAATAGGCAATAAAATATGCAAACCAATCGCGATTAAGAAAACCGCCCTAGAAATATGAAAGTACGTCTGTTTTTGTTGTCACATGCTATAAATATATTTAGTAGAGTGAGAAGAGATAGCTACTTTTCCTTATCGCTTAGTACCGAAACCCTGAATATAGGGTTGTAACAACGATTGTACGTTTGCAATGGTGGTGTGTACCCAGGAGCGTATTTCATATTTTAAAAAAGAAACATAATTTTCAGGTAAGATATAGGTAGGTACCTTAATTCTGAGAATATTTAATGTTAAAGATATAGGTACCAATTGACGTGTTTCGCATAAATAGATAAAGAGAGCTTAATTGTGATAAATATAAGTTCGAAAGTAATAAAAAATGACATGCGCGCGCAACTCGTGGCTGCAGTGTAGCCAAATTGTATTGTTGTAGAACAAATGTAGACAATACAAATCGAACATTATAACATTGAAGAAGCGTGTTTTAAAAGGCCTTAAATCAGACAAAAGAAGAGCTTGAAAGTGTATGTTATGGCCGTTTTCCCAGCAATTGCCTTAAGTAAGTAATAGTTAAGGTACACTTATATTTTAAGTTACCCTTAAGACTTGTTGCGTTGCTCAGCGACTCTCAGGATCAACTCTTAATAAAGAACGGAGTACCGTCTGGCAACGTTGCATTTTTGTCAAAAGAACGTCGAAAATAACCTAACCTTA